TGGTCCAGGCTGCCACGTGGTCCAGGCTGCCCACGTGGTCCAGGCTGCCCACGTGGTCCAGGCTGCCACGTGGTCCAGACTGCCACGTGGCCGCGCGTGTCTCTCTCTCTCTCTCACGCTGTCTGTCGGCAGCGTGAAGGAGTAAGATGGGAGTGTTGTGAACGAAAGACAAATAAAGACCGGATTCCAGAAGTCGCTTCCACGACCTTTATTACATCTGTATGGATAATTGCCTTTGAACTTTCACATGTGGCATGTTCTGGCCTGGAGAGGTATGGTCTGGCCCAGTCTAGTTTAAGCCCCCGGGAATAGTTTAGCCTAGGACACTTTATCCCCCCGGGTATACTCTGGCCTGGGCCAAACTATACCCGGGTTTCATCGGGGCAGGAGTTATTTTAGCCTGTTACACCGGGACTTGGATTCTTGTCTTGGATTAATGCACGGCCTACGCGGAGGGCGTGGGGGGGGGGGGGGTGCGTGACGTCAGCAGGCACACTGCGTGACGCTGCCGCATGCGGGTGACATCACAGATGTGACGTCACCGCTCACTTGACGTACAAAAAATATCCATCATTGCGCCCCCCCCCCCCCCCACCCAAAATACATAAGTCTATTTTTATACTTTTTGCATTGTGTACAGTCTGGAAGCTACCCACATGCCAAAGTTTATGTTTGTTGCATTTTGTGGAAGTATGCTAAACATTTCGAACAGACACACATATTCACAAATTTCCCTTTTATATATATACTGTAGATAATAACAACAATGAACCCAGTTCCAATAACTCAAATGACACAGGGCCATCATCCAAGCACGTAATCGATCAAAGCTGAACTTATGGAGGGAAACCTAAAAGTGCAATTACCCCTTGCCCCGATTGGAACATCTGTGAATAAAGTTCCCCACGGCTAACCGGATCCCTCTTGCTGCAGTCCAAATGGAAGATTGTGATCTTTCGATTTAAAGCTTTCGTGACTGCAGGGATTCATCTTCTTGGTTCTTTCGGTAAAGTCACGTAGAAGGGAAATAATAATATAATAAAAACAAACCAATTAAATAATTCTCACGACGTTTCGGCCACAACGCAAGCAGCCATCCTCAGGTGAAGAACAGGTCTGTCGGAAAGGCAGCGTCTGAATGAAACACCACCAGGCTTGGCAGCGTATATTTAAGCTGGGTTGGAGAGGGAAGAGCGCCTTGACAAAATAATTTGCCTATCAAGAAGAATTTAGCATATTTATGGGAAATGGAGATATGGGATTAGTCACTACTTGTGGAATGCGTAGTAGGTGGGCGGGGGGTTTTATTATGTTTCATTTTTATTATTTTATTATTTCCCTTCTACGTGACTTTACCGAAAAAACCAAGAAGATGAATCCCTGCAGTCACGAAAGCTTTAAATCGAAATTGTGATCTTTATTCAGCGAAGGATTCCACAGGTCTCTGTGTGTGTGTCTCCCATGTGGAGACTAAAGTCTGATGTTTACCCGTGGCAATATAATCGACAGGTCTACGTCGTCGGCAGTTGAATGTTAAAACTTTGGTGGATCGCTAAGATTTTTTTTTCATATATATGTAATAAAGGTCGTTGAGGCAACTTCTGGAATCCGTCTTTTATTCAACTTTGCATTAGAACTTTCCTTCACGCTGCTGACAGGCAGCGTGAGAGGGATAGATAGAGAGAGATGCACTGCCACGTGGCAACCCGGAGCCCCGCTCCCGCGTGGCCCCCTTCCTCTGTTCGTTCCCGTTCTGACCACTGTGTCGTCCGTCTCCACCCCTCTTTAATACCCGGGTCACATGGTACGTTTCCACCAATCCTGGTTAGCCTCTATGGAATATTCGCTCCCGGGACCACGCCCCTGACTCATCTCCCCATTGGCTGTGGCTAAAGCCAGCAGAACCAATCCTCTACAACCAGCTGTCATCTTTCCATTACGTCAGGGCCACGCCCCTAGGCTTCCCCCCATTGGCTATGAACCAGGACCGGCAGAGCCAATCGTCGTGACGAGTTGTAATTCGTCAACGACCCGGATATAACCTCACATTACATATATATAAGAGCCAAGCCACTCAGTAACTTGAATGCGAGAATAAGAATAATCTTAAAATCGATTCTGTACTTTACAGGGGGCCAGTGTAGGGAGGTGAGCATACAGGGTGGCCCACAAGTCAGGACACATAGGGTTATTATTATTATCATCATCCAGGGTGCTTCAAAACATCGGATCCAGCGGCAGCGGCATAATTCTCATCATCATAATTGTCATCAGCAGAATCCTCATTGGCATCATGAGTAGCCGCGTCGTAATCATCATCATCATTAGCAGCAATATCTCTGCAACCACGAACCGCCCATGAATGAAACTCTTACCACTTGAACTTCCGATTTCTTCATTTTTCAGCAAGACGGAGCACCGCCACATTGGCACCTGCAGGTTCGGCGTTTTCTAAATGACGCACTGCCTCAACGTTGGATAGGTGGCACGGGACCTCAAGACTTGGCGCTACACTCTTGGCCCCCAAGATCCCCAGACATCACAGCCTGCGACTTTTTCTTGTGGGGATACGTCAAAGTCCGTGTTTTTGTGCCACCATTAGCGACTAATCTGGATGACCTCAAAAACAGAATCACGGCAGCGGTGACTTCAGTGGAAGAAGACCATTTGAGAGGCGTTAGGGACGAATTCAACTATGGTCTCAATGTTGTCCGTACAGCAGGTGGAGGGCACATATAGCATTTATAAAATGGTTCGTAACTTTTAGTGTAATTGTAACATGTTGCCATCGTGAAATACACTGCTTTGAAATAGGGTCCGTCTTTATCCAACACCCTGTAGGATTACTCAATAGTTACTGATAGTGTAACCATTCACACGCCTATTCACAAACGCGGTCATCATGAGGCATCACACCTTAACAGGGCCCCATTGTTAAAGCCGTCCATAAATGACGTCACACACCTAGGGGGGGAGGGTCAGACATTTGTGACGATGTCTAACGAGGGGGGGGTGGTGAGAAATGTGACGTCACATCAAAATGCGCAACTTTAAATTAATATAGACAACACGTTCTACTTAATTAAATATACTTTTTAATAAATGTTTTCTCCTCCAACATCAGAGTGCAGTGCCACATTAAATACGCACTACAATGACAATAGTTTAAAGCGATTTGAAGCATGTTTTATTTTTTTGGGGGGGCAGAGCTTTGTGACGTCATATTTGAGGGCGGGTCTGACTTTTTGTGACGTCTGGTGACGGGGTCAAAAATCGTCCAAAATCGCGTGACGTCATTTATGGACGGCCACTTACATCTTTTATAATCCATTCCGTCTGTCCACTGAACTCTCCGTTCATGACGCTATGAGTAAGGGCAACCGCCCGAAACGTCACCTATTATATATATCTTTAAAGGTGTATTGAATTTTTTTTATACTGCTACTGATGCTCCGGCTGTTATGGAATGACTCATGCAGCCAGCTATGGCTGCAAAGTTTGGTCGTGCATGTTATGTAGATCGTTTATTGTTAAATTTGAATCACGGTTCCTATGATCACTGTTACGTTGTTTTCATAGCTGAACTCCACTCATTCTGTAGAACAGGGGGAGATCATACAACCTCCACTCACTCTCACTCTGTAGAACAGGGGGTGATCATACGAACTCCACTCACTCTCACTCTGTAGAACAGGGGGAGATCATACAAACTCCACTCACTCTCACTCTGTAGAACAGGGGGAGATCATACAAACTCCACTCACTCTCACTGTGTAGAACAGGGGGAGATCATGCAAACTCCACTCACTCTGTAGAACAGGGGGAGATCATACAAACTCCACTCACTCTCGCTCTGTAGAACAAGGGGAGATCATACAAACTCCACTCACACTCACTCTGTAGAACAGGGGGAGATCATGCAAACTCCACTCACACTGTAGAACAGGGGGAGATCAAACAAATTCCACTCACACTGTAGAACAGGGAAGAGATCATACAAATTCCACTGACTCTCACTCTGTAGAACAGGGGTGAGATCATACAAACTCCACTCACTCTGTAGAACAGGGGGAGGTCATACAAACTCCACTCACTCTGTAGAACAGGGGGAGGTCATGCAAACTCCACTCACTCTGTGGAACAGGGGGAGATCATACAAACTCCACTCACTCTGTAGAACAGGGGGAGATCATACAAACTCCACTCACTCTCGCTCGGTAGAACAGGGCGAGATCATACAAAGTCCCATCACAAGGAAGAAACACAAATAGATAGACGCTGTTTTGTTGTTGACCGCATTGAAAGGGCTGTACGTCGTAGGGAACTTGTACAGAAATACGGGGTTAACCGTATGGCTTTTCGGATTTAGTGTAGTGTATTGTAAAGTAGTGTTGCATACTTGTCAACCCCTTACTACAAATCAATGCAGATCTTATTGGTCAACCCGTGCCACTTGCAAATCTCAACGTTCATCCTACAAAGGCTCATTACAAGCGAGAAACACAAACAAATAGACTTACTGTCTTGCAAGGGCTGTATGCCGTATGGACCTGAAAACTCAATTTTCCTGTACAAGAATACGGCTAAACCGTATGTGTTGACAGCAATGTATTCCTGTCGTGGTGGTATTCTCTCTATACTCTTAGTTTTTTCGGTAAAGTCACATAGGTTACAAAAATGAAATTAAAATTAATACATATAAAATAATAAAAATCACGACGTTTCGGAGGCAACACAAGTCTCCGTCATCAGGTGGGACCGTCACAGCCAGATTTGCTGTATCAAGCGAGGCAGGGATTCCAAGATGCAAGTTCTTAAATACAAGTTAAGGGGGAGTAGGGGGCGGGAGCTTATCAGAATGTGGTAGCCAATGAATGGAACGTATTGGGAGGGGGGGCGGGGTTAAAAGAGGTGTACGTAGACGTCAACGTGGACGTGTTTGTGCACAAGCCCCTGTTGGTGCACATGATAAAAGAGAACGAAAATGCTCATGAATTGATTTAAGACCGCAGCATCTTGGATTCACCGGGCACCACACGCCCGACAAGGCGCCTGGCCAAAGCGCGTCGGATCTCGGCCGTGCGGAGGCCGTAGACGACCGGGTTGAGCACTGGCGGCAGAACGTACTGGAGGGTCTGCAGGGAGCGCAGGTCCCCAGGGATGGAGGTCTGCAGCTTGAGGCCACTCACGAACGTGAAGAGGATGGAGCTGAAGAAGACGGTGATCACGAAGATGTGCGTGACGCACGTGTGGATGGCCTTACCCTTGCCCTCTCGCAAATGCGGCTTGCGACACTCGAGCAGGATGAGCAGGTACATGAGGACGACGATGAGGAGGGGCAAGATGATTCCCGTGGTGATGTTGATGTAGTTGAAAATTACGCTGGGGTAGGGGTCGCTGCACGACAGGTTGAGGAGCATACTGCTGTGGCAGTTGGGCGAGGAGGTGACCTTCATGCGGCAGTAGTTGAGGCGCACCACCACGGCCACGTAGCCGAAGATCGGCAGTCCCGCAAGCGCCACGGTCGCCAGGAAGGCCTTGAAGACCAGGGAGTTGGACATGATCAAGTGGTAGCGCAGCGGGTGGACGATGGCCACGTAGCGGTCCACGGACATGGTGGTGAGGATTAACGACTGCACCCTGATGGTTACGTGGTAGAAGAACATTTGTGCAATGCACTCGGGAATGGGGATGAGATTCGAAGCGACGAGGTTGGCCATGATCCTCGGCAGTGCGGTGGTCGACTCCACGACGTCGGTGATCGCCAGCAGCGCCATGAGGACGTACATGGGCCGGTGGAGGTTCGACTCGAGGTAGATGACCAGGCCCAGCATCGCGTTGGCAGCCACCGTGAAGGCGTAGATGAGGAGGAGGGCCGCGAAGGCCGAGTAGCGAGCGGAGGGGGGGTCTCGGAAGAGCGTGACCATGAAGATGAGGTCCGACGAGGGGTCGTCGACTGCCACGGTGCCATTTTGGGACGAGTTGAAGTCCATGTCTGGGAGAAAAGAGAAAAGAGTGGGCGGCGAAGTCGTGGTGGGTTTTCGGTGGGCGCTGGAGGCTTTCAGAAGATCGTTTGGGCAAAACGTTGTCATACCACGCTTCGCCTACACCCGCATTTAGACCACGAACTAAAAACTAAAGTTCGTTTTTTTTCATTCGACCAGGTAAGGCCCACCGAGCTAAATATAGATAATTGTCAGACGCGACCCGGCTATCACGAATGATAGCTCCGACGAAGTGAATTATCATCACGTGTACATTCATGGCGGCCAAATATATCGAGACGCACTTTTTGTGAATGTGGAGGGGGGAAAAAACGGAGGAGCCAGAGAAAGAATTCCACACAACTACGGGGAGAGAGACATGCAAAATCCAAATATACAACAGACGTCCGAGTTGGGATTGAACCCACGGACCTTCTTAATCCCGGAAAAAAATCAACGCTACCACGGGGAAGGGGGGGAGGGGGGAGAGACATGCAAACTTCCAATATACAACAGACGTCAGCATCGGGATCGGACCCACGAACCTCCTGCATACCAGGTGAGGGAGTTAACATCTCGCCACAAAGCCCAATAATCAAACCGACTCTCGGACGAAGAAGCAGACATTCTACCCACGTGACTTTACTGAAAGGACAGTATGGATTCCTGCAGTCACGAAAGCTTAAAATCAAGTTTGCCTGTAAGACAGACAACTTTGAGCTTACGACAAAATAACTCTCTATAACGGTTTAATTTAATTCCGATGTGACGAGTATACACACAAGGCATTTCTTGATGGGGACATCTTAACGTTTATGTAGCATCACCGTCATCCCAGGCCTTGTCTGGATAGCAGCATCTCGAGATACGACTGTCGGCTCAGTCGCGTTCGTGAGTTCCGTGCGTGCCGCTGCGTTGCGGTAGTAGATGCGTTCCAAAAAGAAAATAATAATATTGGTAAGTGCCAGGCCAGGTGCACTTTAAGGCCACGTGAAGTGTCGAACGCCCGCTGGTAGCGAGAGGTCACGGGACAGACCCCAGGTGCCACGGGTGGCAGCTACTCGCTACTCACAGCACTTGCCCCAACAGTCTGTTCAAAGCTACACGGGGGACCTTTGTCTGTGTCTCCTTCATAGCTGCTGCTCGCTAACAGCACTTGCCCCAACAGTCTGTTCAAAGCTACATAGGGGACCTTTGTCTGTGTCTCCTTCATAGCTGGTGCTCGCTAACAGCACTTGCCCCAGCAGTCTGTTCAAGGCTACACAACAACAGCAGCAGCAACATTGGCGCAGAGCGAATTCAAAAGGCACGTGGCGAGTAGTGGGCAGGGCTGGGCAACAGCCACCCTACCCATGGTGGTGGTGGTAGTGATGATGATGGTGGTGGTCATGGTAGTAATGATTATGGTGGTGGTAGTGATGATGCTGGTGGTGGTGATGGTGATGATGATGATGATGGTGGTGGTGGTGGTGGTGGTCATGATGGTGATGATGATGATGGTGGTGATGATTGTGATGGTGGTCATGATGGTGATGATGATGGTGGTGGTCACGATGGTGATGGTGGTCATGATGGTGATGATGATGATGATGGTGGTCATGATGGTGATGATGATGATGATGATAGTGGTCATGATGGTGATGATGCTGGTGGTGATGATGATGATGGTGGTGGTCATAATAGTGATAATGATGATGGTGGTCATGATGGTGGTGATTATGGTGGTGGTCATGATGGTGATGATGGTGGTGATGATGATGATGATGGTGGTGGTCATGATGGTGATGATGATGATGATTGTGGTGATGATGGTGATGGTGGTCATGATGGTGATGATGGTGGTGGTCATGATGGTGATGGTGGTCATGATGGTGATGATGATGGTGGGCATGATGGTGATGATGATGCTGGTGGTGATGATGATGGTGGTGGTCATAATAGCGATGATGATGATGATGGTCATGATGGTGATGATGATGATGGTGGTCATGATGGTGATGATTATGGTGGTGGTCATCATGGTGATGATTATGGTGGTGGTCATGATGGTGATGATTATGCTGGTGGTGGTGGTGATGATGATGCTGATGATGCTGGTTGTGGTGGTGATGATGATGATGGTCATGATGGTGATGATTATGGTGGTGGTGGTCATGATGGTGATGGTGGTGGTGATGGTGGTCATAATGGTGATGATGATGATGGTGATGATGATGATGATGGTGGTCATGATGGTGATGATGATGATGGTCATGATGGTGATGATGCTGGTGGTGATGATGATGATGGTGGTGGTCATAATAGTGATAATGATGATTGTGGTCATGATGGTGGTGATTATGGTGGTGGTCATGATGGTGATGATGATGGTGCTGGTGATGATGATGGTGGTGGTGGTGGTGGTCATAATAGTGATGATGGTGGTGGTGATGATGATGATGCTGGTGGTCATGATGGTGATGATGATGATGATTGTGGTGATGATGGTGATGGTGGTCATGATGGTGATGATAGTGGTGGTCATGATGGTGATGGTGGTCATGATGGTGATGATGATGGTGGGCATGATGGTGATGATGATGCTGGTGGTGATGATGATGATGATGGTGGTGGTCATAATAGCGATGATGATGATGATGATGATGGTCATGATGGTGATGATGATGATGGTGGTCATGATGGTGATGATTATGGTGGTGGTCATGATGGTGATGATTATGGTGGTGGTCATGATGGTGATGATTATGGTGGTGATGGTGGTGGTGATGGTGGTCATAATGGTGATGATGAAGGTGGTGGTGGTGGTCATAATAGTGATGATGGTGGTGATGAAGATGATGGTGGTGGTCATGATGGTGATGATTATGATGGTGGTGATGATGGTGGTCATGATAGTGATGATGATGCTGGTGGTGATGATGATGATGGTGGTCATGATGGTGATGATGATGGTGGTCATGATGGTGATGATGATGATGATGGTGGTCATGATGGTGATGTTTATGGTGGTGGTCATGATAGTGATGATTATGGTGGTGGTCATGATGGTGATGATGATGATGAAGGTGGTCATGATGGTGATGTTTATGGTGGTGGTCATGATAGTGATGATTATGGTGGTGGTCATGATGGTGATGATTATGCTAGTGGTGGTGGTGATGATGATGCTGATGATGCTGGTAGTGGTGGTGATGATGATGATGATGGTCATGATGGTGATGATGATGGTGGTGGTCATGATAGTGATGGTGGTCATGATGATGATGGTGGTCATGATGGTGATGATGATGATGATGGCCGTCATGATGGTGATGATGCTGGTGGTGATGATGATGATGGTGGTCATGATGGTGATGATGATGGTGGTGGTCATGATAGTGATGGTGGTCATGATGATGATGGTGGTCATGATGGTGTTGATGATGATGATGATGGCGGTCATGATGGTGATGATGATGCTGGTGGTGATGATGATGGTGGTCATGATGGTGATGATGAAGGTGGTGGTCATAATAGGGATGATGGTGGTGATGATGATGATGGTGGTGGTCATGATGGTGATGATGATGATGGTGGTGATGATGGTGATGGTGGTCATGATGGTGATGATGATGGTAGTGGTCATGATGGTGATGATGGTGTTCATGATGGTGATGATGGTGGTCATGATGGTGATAATGATGATGATGGTGGTAATGATGGTGATGATAATGCTAGTGGTGGTGATGATGATGATGATGGTGGTGGTCATTATAGTGATGATGATGATGGTGGTCATGATGGTGATGATTATGGTGGTGGTCATGATGGTGATGATTATGCTGGTGGTGGTGGTGATGATGCTGATGATGCTGGTGGTGGTGGTGGTGATGATGATGATGATGGTCATAATAGTGATGATGATGGTGGTCATGATGGTGATGATTATGGTGGTGGTCATGATGGTGATGATGATGGTGGTGGTGATGATGGTGGTCATAATGGTGATGATGAAGGTGGTGGTGGTGGTGATGATGACGGTGGTGATGGTGATGATGATGGTGATGATGATGGTGATGATAATGGCGGTGGTGGTGATGATGGTGTTGATTATGAGAATCGTGATGAGGATAGTCATTATGCTGTTGTTGCTGCTGATGATACTATTGCTCATGATGATGATAATTTTGATGATTCTGCTCATGCTGATGATGATTCGGCTGATGCAATATTTGATGATTATAATTCTGCTAAAGTTACTTCTGCTGATGATGATGATGATGATAATAATGCTACTGCCACTCATGATGCTGATAGTTCTGCTGATAATCATTTTGTATATTACGCTTCTGCTACTGTTTCTACTGCTGATGATGATTTTACTGATACTCATGCTGATGATGATTCGACTGATTATAGCTTTGATGGTCATGCTTCTGCTCAAGACACTGCTGATGTTGATGATGCTGCCACTCATGATGTTGATGATTCTGGTGATGATAGTTTTGATGATTACGCATCTGCTACTGTTGCTGCTGCTGCTGATGATGATGATACTGCCACTCATGATGCTGATTCGGCTAATGATTCTTTTGTTGAGTATGTGTCTGTTGCTGCTAATGATGATGATGATTACGACGCGGCCACTCATGATGCCGATGAGGATTCTGCTGATGACACTTATGATGATGAGAATTATGCCGCTGCCGATGATCGTGATGATGATGACGGTGACTTCAATTTGCAACAGATCGCTTACCAACGCTCGCCTAAGAACGTGAAATAACTCGGTGGAGGAATCAAGAACAGCAACAACGGCACCAATGTCTCAACAACGTCTCAAATCCACTACAGCTCGTACTCCGGTGACCGCGACTGGAGTTGCCTGCGACCGTTGTTACCCACAACTGTTGTTGCACGCGACTGGAGTTGCCTGCGACCGTCGTTGCCCGTGTCTGGAGTTGCTCGCGACTCGGTTGTTACCCGCGACTGGTGTTGCTTGCAACTGTTGTTGCCCGCGACTGGAGTTA